CTAAAGCATAAAGACTATATCAACGCCACAAGTCTTTCATACAAATTAAGACATGAAGTTTCTGCTAGTGGCATCTATTTAACCAATGAACAGATTTCATCGGCATAATAACCATCTCAGTTGGTAACCATCTCAGTTGGTAACCATCTCAGTTAGTAACCATCTCAGTTAGTAACCATCTCAGCTGGTAACCAACTCAGTTGATAACCATCTCAGTTGGTAACCATCTGACTTGGTATTATGGACTAATTAACTAAAAAATAATTATTGTCTATAAGGCCGATTAACTGCAACTTATATTTGTTTTCGGTGATAAATTCATTCGGCGATAATGGAATCGGCGAACTTCATTTTCGGCGAAATTTCTTTCGGTGAAAACTATTTTTCGGCGAAATTCATCTTCGGCGAAAAATTTTTTCGGCGAAGCTGGACTAAATCGATGTGGATATCTTCTCATCACACACACTCACACCCAAAATTTTGGACATTTAGAGAAAGAACGTGTTTTTCTCGAAAAACGATACTTTTCGAGTATTTCGTATTTTTCGACCAGAAGGAAGGATTTGCTAAGGCGAAAAAGTAGTTTTTCGTGATCAGTAGCTCAAGTTCTATTCGATAATGTAAAAAAAAGCGCGAAAACAAAAATTTTACTTGAAATTCGCATTGTCGACACCTTACATGTGTTATTCGATTACCATCGTTGTCGTCAAAGTTGAATGAAAAAATGCGATATGCTAGATTGAGTAATTGTTGACAGAAAAATTCAAATTGTTTCTTTCTTTTTAAATATCTTATTGAAATCGAATCAAAAACTAGAATAGATAAGATAAATAGAATGAAGATGTCGATTGACGAGACATATTGATCAAAGAATATCAGTGATGGATAGATGGTCCAAAGTATGTCTAATTAACTCAATAGGTAAAATACTTATATAATCTAACATTTTGAATGTGTTTTTATTTGCAAGAAAAAAAATCTCTCTCTATTTATATATGCAAAACAAACAATAACGATCAAACTCGTCACTTCAATCATTCAAATAGATTATGTATAATTTCAATAATATTTTTCTAGAAGTGATATTTCCTAGATAAATTAGCCTGTTTGTTTCTGTCTATGACATATTTCGTCCTAGGAAACTAACAATTGTTTTTCGAGAACAGAATCTGTAGAAATGTTCAGACTTCTATTCGAATTGTAATTGATCAATTTGTCTTTTATTTTGCTTGATTAGAAAATCTAAGACATAAAAAAAAGGAAGGATATCATCGATGAATTCACTCATTTTCCTTCAATATGTGATTATTTCAACTAGCTTAATTAATCCTGAAAATATCATCTCGATCGGTAAACGTTTTGTAATTTATTGAATGAACAAATCAAAAACAAAATTTAATTCATAACAAAGGAAAGTAAAGATAGAAATCTTTTGTATGTGCAAATTGTGTGATCAGAATTAATCGTTTTATATTAACACAATTGTGTCGCGTTTCTTCTCTTGTAAAGTTTTTTGTTACAATTGTTAAATCATTATAACTAACTCATAATTCAGTCAGACACGGTATATATGCCTTTTTTTTCATTTAGAAATTCTTCAACATAATGATAATGTGCACAAAATATATCAAGTGAGATAAGATGAGGATATACAGCGATTGCATATAATTGATTATTCTCAGTTGCAAACATATTAAAGTCTAATGATGATTGTGAAACAACATTCATAATACGCAAATTCATTATTAATGGAAAATTTTGAGAAATTCGAATGAAAAATTGATGGTCGAATGGAACGACATCTTGTATAAACAAATATGTAACATAACTACATTTAATATTTGGAAATGTATTACCAATATCTTCAAGATAATCAAATTGAAAAGGAATTGATAAAATAGAATAGACAATTTTATCCCCATATATGTAATGAAGACTACTAGCAACTGATTGTTGTTTAATATTTGTAAATGTTTGTTGAATATCTTTATTAGATATATTATATTGTAAATCAACAACATTCACATATGTACAAATATAAAAAGTAAATGAGTGAAGTCGTGGCATATAAACAAGAATTTCATTTTCAAGATGAGTATCATCAATAAATCTATTCCGATCATCTATACGCAAATATAAAGTTAATTTTTCTAGACATGACATTCGACGCAAAAGTTGTAGAATTGTATAATCATATGAAACAGTTAACCGATAAGATTTTAATGAGAAATATTTCAAATTAGGTAGATTGTCCTAAACAAAATAAAATATATTTCCTAATTAAACAAAACAAAAAAATTATAGACGACATTGAATCAATTCCATTTTATAATATTAAAATAAGAAATAATGACTTGAACTTCTATTCCTATATATGTATAGTCAGAACAAATACTAAAATTTATTGTATTTAATATCTTTGATAATTCAAATAACAAAATAAACTAATTATTATTAAGATATTTGATAAATCGTTATATTGATGTACACATCTTTTTCGACAAATAAATCTCCATAGATCCCATAAAATGCGTTGAGAATTTAAGATGTAAAAATTACTAATGCATTCAAAGGTCAGATTTCAGAATATATTTCATAAAATCTATGCTTTAGATTCATTTTTCTCTTTTTTTTTCGAATTTGTCTATACCTAGATATAACTCAATGTAATTTATCTAAGGATAGAAGTTTATATATGAAATAGTGTTTTACGCCTATTATGATTTCAAATACTAGAAAAACCAACTAATTCATTAAAATTAACTATAATTAGTTTTTTAAGACATAAACAAATGAAAACTTGTAGAATTCGTCTTGTTCGAATCGATATTTAATAAATAAATGTCCACTGAAGCCTTCAGTTACAAAACTAGAATTCGAATGGATGTCGATGATTGACAGATAATCGATTTTGGACTCTCTAATTCAATTAGTTCCCACATTCATTTTAACATTATTCATTCTTTCATATTTTAATGAAATCTATTAAAATCAAGAAAAATTTCTATCGAATTCTATCTAGATTCATCTATTCAATTGTGTAATCTAAATTATAAATCTTCTCCGACTCAACAATACGATCTCTATATGTTCACTTACAGACCGCATCATTTGACACAAGCAGATATGAACCAATGAAGGAATCTAATACACAGAAAAGTTCGAAACAATTTCCCTACCAATATATTTTTCTAACTATTTGAAAAATCTTAACAAGTTGTTCTTCCCAAATTATAGACCTTTTCACACTGAATCTTACATTATAGTTGATTCTATTTAAATATATTAGATGATGAAAAGATGCAAGGAATTATTCGTATAGAATAAAATAAAAATGAACTTTTCACATCGTCGAAAATTAGTTGCATAATAATTTCCTCTTTTTGAAAAAAAATGCACATTTAAGTTGACCATTAGTTTTAGATTGTTGAATTTTTCACGGTACATCGTCTCATATGTTATCTTTTAATACAACTTATTAATTGATGAAAAACTGAAATTATGCGACTGATTAATCTATCTGATCCCTTATTTTATAAAAAGGAAGAACGTAGGTAACAAACTTTCTTCATTCGCTCTTCCTTGTTCAGATAGAATTTTCATTTTCCTTTTAATAAGTAGACTTTCAAATAATTCTCTACTAGTTCAAATTATTAAAGTACTGTCAAAGATATATTAATAGAAAAAGTGACCAGAACTAATAGATTTCATACCTTATCCACCTGATAACTTCTGCTTACACTCTTATTTTATCGATATGATGCGGCTCATACTTCAAATAAAAACTCTCAAAGTGTGTATGGAAGTGATGTAGCCAAGAATGAATTAGACCAAACTCCTTGCAGAAAAAACCATCTGACGGAAAGTACGGGAAGCTACATTTTCGTGGACAGAAAATGTTTTTTTTAACGGTGATTGGTCCCCTCCTCAGTAAATTCTTGGCTCTGCCCCTCGTTTATGCGACTGCAACTCTCTGTGTGGCAGAAACGAAAGTGATAATTTCATGGTACTATTCTATTTCCTACTAATCTTCTACTTTTCCATATGCCATTCAATGAAAATTTTACACATTAACAATTTTTTAGAAATTCATTCTATATATTCTTGTCGTGTGCAGAAATGTTAATCCCTATAGAATCTAAATTCTACGAAGAGAAAAGATTTTTTATTATTAGTAGTACTTTGGTAGATATTTGCTTAGGAACAGTACATATCTAGAATTTTTTCCTAGTCAGAAATATACTATATATACTGTAACAACAGTAATAGAACCAGTTAGCTCTATCTAGACACATGATGGAAATTAAAATAATTTTTCTCCATGAGAAAATGTTCTCTGATTACAGTTATGTGAGTATATCCAAGTGATAATGATACTAAAATAATAATAAATTCCTATGTCGAAAATATATTAATATTGTGTATTGCGATTTAATCATCGTTATAAGTACTAAAAATAAATTGATTAATCTTAATTATATATCTGATAAGGCATTCTCAAGTTCATCATTGCGATAATCGATTCTTATTGGATCTGATAACAAACTAATCAACGTTCAATCGGAATGTTAATATAATGAAATCCAGTAAAATTTAATATGATTTCGTTTCATAAAATCATACTCTTATCTGTAGTGTTAAATACAATTGAATCTTATTGTCAAATCCAACAAAACTTAAGATTGAATTTGAATATTGTATCTAACACTAATTAGATTGACATCAATTAAATTGACTAATACTTGAACTTTCATCATCGGATCTATTACTAGTCCCATTACACGAAATCTCAACAAACTCGGTTGAATCTTCGAAAGTACTATCGAAGCCAATGTCGAATTGATGAACTTGGCTTGTTAGGCTTAACATTCAACAAATGATTCATTCGTTTACTTAGGATAATCAATCTAGAATATGTCTATCATTCATTTTGGTTATATGTTAACCAAATACACAAGAAACTCTACAACTTCAGATCCATAATTCACATCTGAACACAATTATTATAAGTATATATAAGATGGGTACAGTAATGCAGTAGTGGGATCGATCCCCCCAGAAAAATAGTTCTTCTATATGGTGATCCCTTCCTTCCCCCTCCCCCCTTGAGAAAATTTTCAGCTGGGTGGCTGGATGGATACCTAAAAATTCCAATTGGTACAAGTTTTTCTTCAGTAGAGTATGAAAAAGAGAAAATAAATATTTAATGATAGCATCAGTTCCTTAAACTTTGTTTCTCCGAAATATAATCACGAACTCTTCGAAAATTTTTATCTAAGCTATAGTACATATATATATATGAGTATAAATGGAATTTATCAGTTGGATAAATTTCTGTAGAAGTATTCGTTGATTTTAATACCTTTATTAGGCTCTTTCCATTATTAAAATAACAATTCCATCATCATTGTGAATACAAACGCCAATTAATCTCATCCTATACTCAAAACTTTTTATTAAAACTTACCATATTATGACTTATTGTTGAAGAATGTATGGAATAGAGTTCAACAATTAATGTTGTTAATTGGTGGAGTCGGCCATCAAGTAAATAAAGACAATCATCAAATGTTGTTACATTAATACATAAATAAGTAAGAATTGAAGAGAAAAATGTAGTTGATGGTAAATCACAAAGTAATAAACGTGGATATGATGTTTCAATAACACTTAAATGTTTTAAATTTTTGCAAAAACTCAAGATATATGCATAAACATTTCTAGTATAATTTGGAATTGATTCTATCATATTATGTTTATCACTATTTACAAGAATAAGATCTGTAATTTGCTGTTGAAATATATATCGAAGAGGTGATTCATCTAAATAAAAAAACAAAAAAAATCAATAAATTATTTTATAGTCTATTCAATTTAAATATTCTTCTATTATTGTATTTACTTGTAAAATAATACAAAACGATTTCTTCTTTGAAATTAAAAATTTTGAGTTTAGTTAGATTTGGATAGTTGGTTGCAAGAAGAATACGTTTTATTAAATCTGCTTGCAGAATGATATATTTCACATTGTCATAAATTTTTAGCAATATATCGGTACAAAATCGATCAAGTTTGAGACAATCATTTGAGGAAATATTATCAATAGATGTAAAATTGAGAATATTGGTAAAGATTTTTTCTTGTGCTATAATGTTAAGTCGTTGATTATTTATATTTAAGAATGAATAAAGAACATCAATATTATTCAGTTTTTTCAAAATAATAAGTAATATCTCATCGGGTAGATCTAAAAATTGAGTATCATATCGATTCATATTTTATTATAACTGATAGACTTCTTTTCAAGGAAAGGTCAATATATATATGTTTAGTCTTTCTTCATAAAGGTCAAAATAGATTGACTTCATTCAAAGTGAATTAAGAAACATGATTGGTGTTGCTATGTAACAACGGCAATCACATTGATTAATTCATATTGAATTAAGGCAGTCTATTTGGAGCGTAACCACTCTCGTTAATGTAGAACAGAATAGATAATTTTATTAAAAAAGAAAGTGCAATGTCAGTGTATCGTTCAAGTAGATTAATAGTCATTGGCTGCTGTTTTCTTTTCGTCAATTCTTCACATTTATACGTTCAACGTATTCATTTAGACAGTTATAGAGGGTGGGGTGTGGGTGTGGGTGTGGGTGTGTGGCGGGTGTGGGTGG